GAAACCATTGCGCTGGCCGCGTGGTGGAGGGAAGTCCCAGCCTCAGTGGATGACTGCAGCCCACGACGGGCAACAGCAGTAACTCCTGAGAAGGGCAAGCCTGACTTTCAGAATTACACCATGATATTAAAACTGATCTCCAAGAAGAAATTAAAGACATATAAGGAAACAGGAAAACATGGCCTATTTGCTGAGGGGAAATAAGATATCGAAAGCGTCTCTGGAAGCCTAGTCCTTGGACCTACTGAACAGAGACCAAACGTCCGCAGTCCCCTGCACCCATCATCTCACTTTCTGCAGTTTCAGTTTTCTGCAAACACATTCTGAAAATAGCAAATTGAAAATTCCAGAAATAGTTCATAACTTGCGTGCCATCCTAGTAGTGCAATGGAAGCTGGCACTGGCCTGCTCTGCCCGCCCAGAGAGGGAACAGCACTGTGACAGCGTAAGTAGAAAAGGTATTTCATACACCTACACTAGGAGCATCATACTTAGCCTCGCCCGGCTTAACTGCACTCAGAACACTTGCGTTAGCCTCCAGTCGGGCAAACCATACGCGTGAGTGTGATTTGTTTGTTTGTTTGTTTGCAGTGCCAGGATTGGAACCCAGGGCCTCATGCACTAGACAAGTGCTCTACCACTGAGCTACATCCCCAGCTCCAAAGTATATTATATAATGAAACGTTGAAAATCTCACATAACTTATTGAATATTGTACCTGAAATTGGAAAACAGCACTATTTTAGTCAAAACAAATGACCACTAGTTGGAAGCCTCTCCATGCTACCTGCCCACTAGTCACCTACTAGCCATCCCAGTCACCAGACCAACTACCCTACGGAGCCATTATCTTACTTAACAATGGCCCCAAAGCATAAGGATGCGATGTGAGTCAGGGCTTCATTGCTAGGATAAAGCACCTCAGAAAACCAACTGAGAGAGGAGGAGGTTTGCTTCTGCTCACAGTTTTAAAGGGTCCAGCCCATTGTCAACTGGCTCCGTTGCCTTGGAGCTGAGTCGAGGCAGTGATCGTGGCAGGGGGCCTGGTGGAAGAGAGCGGCCACTTCATGGCCCCGGGGAAGTGGAGGGGACAGGGGGAAGGGGAGAGGGGGGAGGGGCCGGGGAGAGATGACCCTTCCAGGACAGGCCAACACTGACCTATTTCCTGCAACTAGGCCCCAGCACCCCGTTTCCACCGACTCCTGATAATGCCAAATTATGAACCCATCAATGATCCATTAATCCATTGATGAGGTCAGGCCCTCATGATCCAGTACTGACACTGGCAATTTGCATGTACCAAAGAGAAGCCACAAGTGCCACCCGTAAGTGAAAAGTGAACACTCTTGACTCGATAAAGGAAAAAACATCATGCTGAGTTGCTGAAATCGACAGTGAGACTCATCTGTGGATGTATGATGAAGGGAAAAGAAATCCAGCTACGTCTGCCGTCATATGTACAAAAGTCATGGCCACCGGGTACGGTAACTTAGTTGTGATGGAAAAGGCATCAAATTTGCAGGAAGACATGAAGAGAAAATGTGCCACGACTGTTGGCCACACTGTGCCCTACAGTGCTGGAGCTACACAAAAGCCTCAGCCAGGGACACGCGGCAACAAGTGACATCAAGCCATTTACTATGACTGAGGGATGGTTACACAGATTCCAGAACAGCTGTGGGCTGAAAAATACAAAGATTAGTGCCAAGGCTGTGTTTGGCACATTTCCAGGAGGGTTGAAGTTAGGAGAAAGGGTAGACCACAGGGTCGTCAGAGAGGGACCTGGCTCCTGGGAGAGACGCTCACTGGCACCCACCTGCATACAAGAGCAAAGGACGCACCAGAGCAGGGGACACAGCAGGACAGAGGGACTCTGCATGGCAATGCCACAGGGCACATGTTAAAGCCAGGGGTAAAGCAGAAGGGGACACGTGTACTCCCCAAAGGCAGGATTTACCTGCCCAGGTTCTGGCAACCTGCTGAGGAAGCACAAGTGACAGTCATCTTGCTGATGGAGCACTTTATCCCAGGAGTAACTGGGCTGGAATTTCAAGTCCTACGATCACTAGACAATGCCGCTGGCCCTTCTGGATCTGTTTGCTATAAAAAAAGACAATATTGGGCTGAGATTGTGGCTCAGCGGTAGAGCGCTCGTTCAGCACATGCGAGGCCCTGGGTTCGATCCTCAGCACCACATAAAAATAGATTAAAAAAAAAAAAAGACAATATCAAGGTTGTTATTCCAAAGGTTCAAATACAACCTTGTTGCCTCAGCCCCGTGGCCAGGGCAATTATTCTGTTTTCCAAGGCCACATCACATCCCTCCGCCTGTTTTTTCTTTTTTAACTCATAACCAGTAATTGATGCAGACCCTAATCTGGACGTGAGGCAGTTCTAGAAAGTCTTCTCTCCTGCTGATGCAATAATGTTCTTCAAAGTTGCAATGGATGAATTAAAACCAGAAACTGCAAATACCTGCAGGAAGAATATATAGATTGAATCAAGAGTGACTTCACAGCTTTCCCAGAGATTGATACAAAAGTGAGAAATAACACCCAGGCAGCCAGAGAAGCTGTTGGAGGAGGATTTGACAACATGCTTGAAGAACTGGAAGAACATATCATGAGCCTTGAAAAGTATCGACAAGAAAGGAACAGGAAGGACTTGTTTAGTCATTTACAGAGGAAGAGGAAGGTGAAGAGACAAGCAGAACCTCGATGTGGACATTCCTGAAATTTGTTGAAGTGTTTCAAATTGCATCAAAAGACAAAGTTACAGAGTACAGTCCTCAGATGGAAGGTAGCATTGAATCACCCATACGATCACCAGAGGATGGAAACTCTGAGGCCGTACTTGGATGAGTTAAAAGGGGGTGCAGTGGTAGTGCACTCATAATCAGTGATTGATCTAGACACACTGCAGTTCTAGAAGGTCTTCACTCCTGTTGATGAATGACATCATCAATGGCCCAGTGGCAGAGCCTACGGGAGGCCCTGGGCTCCATCCGAGGCACACAACAAACCAAAGCAACTTCCAACGAGGAGAAATTCCAATTAGTGACATCAAGTTGTTTACTACAAGTGACAGAAAAAGCCCTCAACGACTGAGGAGCTCCAGTCGTCAACCTTGCCTGCACAGACCCTCAACGCTCCACGATCAAACAGAGGGTCCTGCTGACAGATCATTAGAATGTCAATAACAGGGCTGGGGATGTGGCTCAAGCGGTAGCGCGCTCGCCTGGCATGCGTGCGGCCCGGGTTCAATCCTCAGCACCACATACCAACAAAGATGTTGTGCCTGCCGAGAACTAAAAAATAAATACTAAAAATATTCTCCCTCTCTCAAAAAAAAAAAAAAAAAAAAAAAATTTTTCCCCCCCCCAAAAAAAAAAAAAAAAAAAAAAAAAAAAAGAATGTCAATAACAGACTCCACATCCTGTACCTCACTCCACCTCACAAGAACAAGGAGAGAGAGGACAATGAAATACTTTTAGAGAGACCACATTCACAAACCTTTATTACAATTTCTATTAACTGTTTTCTTAGCAGTTATTGCTAACAACTGAAAATAATAAAAATATACAGTAATTAAAATCAAAAATGCAGGGTGGGGGCAGTTTACTACCAATCCCCCAGAAACAAACAAACAAAAAATTACAAAAAAAAAACCCCACACCATGAACAACTGTATGTCAACAAAGTAGATGACCTACATAAAATGGATCAAGTCCCAGGGACATTCAAGTGACCAAAACTGATTTTAAGGAAAAAAAAAATTGAATACAGAGTTTAGTAATTAAAAGCTTTTAACAAGGAAACTTCTGTAACCAGATGGCTTCACTGGTTTACTGAAGTCTAGCAAGCATTTAAAGAAAGACTAACACCATTCTTGTTAAACGAGAAAGAAAGGGAGAGAGAACACTTCTTAGCTCTGGCAGGAGGCCAGCATCACCCTAATTCCAAGCCAGGCGAAGGCACACAAAAAAGCTACAACATGATATCCTTTATGAAAACACAAAAATCCTCAATAAAATACTAGCAAACTGAATCCAACAGCATATTTAAAGGATTCTATTGTCAGACATGGTGGCAGACACCTACAGTCCAATTAGGAAGCTAGGGCAGGAGGATGGCTTCAGCCCAGAAGTTGGAGGCCAGTCTAAACAACATAGCAAGACCCCCATCTCCAAAAAAAAAAGCCACCAGACACCATTTTCAAGTGGTGTTACCCCATGAATGCAAGGGTGATTCATCATAGGAACATCAAATCATGCTAATATGTCACACGAATACAATGAAGAAAACCCCATGATCATTTCTTGATTCAGGAAAAAGCATTCAAACACCTTTTTCATGATAAACATGCTACATTATGAATCTTGAAAACTGAAAGAAGTCAGAAGTCAGGAAAAGCTACATGAGCTGGACACACCTGTAGTTTCAGGTACTCAGGAGGCCGAGGCAAGAGGATCCCAAGTTTGAGGCCAGCCTCAGCAACTTAATGAGACCCTGTCTTATAAGTTTTGTAGAAAGGGCTGGGGAGATGGGGATGTGGCTCAATGTTGGTAAAGCGCTTGCCCAGAGCACACACGTGAAGGCTGGGGAACGAAATGCAGCTCTGTGGTGGTCTTGCCTTAGCATGCCCAAGGCCCTGGGCTCAACCAGCGTGGCTCCGTGAACTATCCAGAGTCCGAAAACCCATCAAGACACAAAGCAGGTCAGTGGTTACCAGGGGCGAGGAGGGAGCAGGACAGAGCCACTTGTCACTAGGATGGAATTTCCTTTTGTGCTGATGAAAATGTTCTGGTCTTAGCCAGGATCTCGGATGCCACTGTGAACGATTCAGTGTCACCGACAGCAAACTTCATGTTCTATCTACAATTTAAAATACAAAAAATACTAAATCCCCTCAAAACAGTGAGGAGGATTGAATGGACTTAGAGACAGGATCCTTGTCTCTTCCATGTAGAAGCACAAGAAAAAACAATTCGAAATATCTAGTCAGTTGATTATTCCAGATTTTAATGATTGAGTACAAAGTCAGGTTCTACTGCAGCCCGGCATCGCGCCACAGCCCGCGCTCTTCCCCACGGGAATCCCTCAAGAGCACCCCTGCCTCTAAGACTCTGAGGCTTCCAAAATGTGGACGGCTTAAAAATCAGATGGTTGCAAACCAGAGAATCCAGTTCACCAGGCCTCACTGTTATTCAACACCTCACCTTTTCTGGCTCCCCTGTCCTGAGGCTGTGCAGGTGGGAGACTGGAAACTTGGGATGATCCACGCCCCCAGCTTTCTGGTCACCCCCCAGCCTCTATCCTCTAGCAAAGGGCCTCCATTAGGGGAGAGCCCTAGATCTAGAACTTCTCCGTGTTGAACTTCGCTGCGAGTGTTGCTGATCTTCCCGCCCCTTGAGAAGGCCCCCTAGTGCACCTTCATGTTCTCTTGTCCACTACAAAGAGATCGCATCTGGATCACACCTGCCTCATCTCAACCACACTCTGCTGGGGCTGCTCTGTTCAGTCGGCCTGAAAACCATGGGTTGGAAACCTACAGTCCAAGAGAAGCAGGTCTTTCTAGAACCTTCCCCACCGGTGTCTATCAGTGACAAGGAGCCCCTCCCAGAGCACAGAGGGGAGCTGGAGGGAAGCCCGCGCGCCCTGAGCACAATCATCCCTCTGTCTGAAGAGAGGTGTGCTAAGCTCAGAGATGGAGCAGGAGACTCACTGGGCTAGAGAACAGGACCAGGAAAACTGACCTAAAGGCCCCAGCTGAACCCCGACAACCTGGGAGGACCGGTGAGTGCTGAGCCCTGTCCCCAGCGCCCAGGGGCATCCAGCTGCCAGTCTGCAACTGCGACTCAAGACGAAGCTGAGGCTTTTCCTGTTCCTTTACTTCGGGGATCATCCGAAACCTTCAGGGGAATCTAGTCCTGACCATGAGCTTCCTAACTGCTTCCAACCATGCCCTCTGCCCATCTGAGCTGGACAAAACAAAGGCGGCCGAGAAGTCCTTAGACTCACATCTTGGATAATTCCATGGGAGTTCTCAGAGAAATGCTTCACCTTAAGAGAAACTAATGCTAGGACCTAGTGTCTTGGATGCTCAGCTGCACAGGCTTAAAGGGGACCTAAGGCCAAAGAAGGGGACATGGGGCCTGTTGACTTCTCAGCTAGCTCTGGGCTGAGGGCCGGGGCCCGACCTCAGCTGAAGCACAGGAAGAGTGGAGGGTTGTTTTTGTTTTTCTTTTCTTTTACTTTGCAGCTTGAATGTTCATTGGTGAATGGGTTTGGACCAGTTGGCATTCACTTGCTAGTCCCTTCAGCCCTGGCATACTGGCTGTGGGGGTCGGGCCTCGCTGCCCTGCCAGTCAAGGTGACGTTACCCAGGAAGATGATGGCCTTCTCCTGAGTCCAATATGCCAGGGCTCTGAGCTGGTGCTATCAGAGAGATTCCACTTTGGCGCTCAGGGCCTGAGTGGGGGAGACGAGGGTCTTGAGGATCTCCGTGTAGTAGGGGCCGAACACCTGCTGGTTGTGATGTGTCAGGTTCACAAACTTCTGGCCCAGTTCCGCCAGCTCTGCCTCAATGAGGGTGAGGCCTCCGGGAAGGTCCAACAGAGATCGCTGCACTCCAAGAACCAAACAGCACTTGAGAAACAAGTGGATCCGCTGATCTGTGAGCAGGAAGAGAGAGAGGGGACAGGGCAGATTTCAGGGAGAAGCACTGGTCCTGCACTCCACTCACCGCCCACTCCCCGCAGAAAGGGAAGGTGGCCTTGCTGAGGTTATGCAGCACTTAAGGGTCCGTCAGTTTCTGAGCGTTCAGGAAGACCTAAGTAGCCATCAGTCCATCCTACTGAGTATCTGGCCTGCAGGAGGATCTCAGCTGCCCGAGTCCAGGGTCTCCATTCCCACAGGTGGATAGGGCAATTCCTCATCCTGGGGACATGGGCTTCAGCCTGTTCAGCCACACTGTGGTTTTGTTTTTGTGGCGCTGGGGATGGAACTCAGGCCTGATGCACACTAGGCAGACTGTCCTACTGAGCGGCACCCCAGCCCAGCAGGGGTGTGTGTGTGTGTGTCCCTACTGGGGGATGCCAAGGGTCTCAGGTTACAGTGAGAGATCACCCAGTGGGCCAGGGTGACGTGTCCAGTTTGGACAATATCCCACACCCAAAGGCTCAAGAATTCCTGGGGGCAAATCTTCCTTAGAAGGTAGTCAGTCCTTGAACTGCAAAGGGACGTATTTCCAGCCTGGTAGTATTTCCAGGTAAACGGCGGCTGCCCAGTGACCTGGTCTGTAATCCTTGTGGTTCAGTGAGTGACATTCTGGGCTGGGACACTCCCTCTGGGACACTCACCAATGACGCTGCGGACGCAGTTCTCCTTCTTGGCGATGTTCTCGAGCTGCCCTGTCAGAGAGGACGTGTTCTCACTGCTCAGCGCAGCCAGGCCCATGGTCTTGAGGCTTTGGTGGATTTCTTGAGACACCTGCTCGCTCACAGTCTTCATAGCCTCCTCAGGCCTAGAGCAGGAAAGAAAGTCAGCTGGCACCCCGTGGTGACCCTGGCAGAGGCACAGAGACACAGCAAACTCCACAGGAATTTAGGCCCAGTTGAGAGCGAGTCCCAGCCATCTACCCAGCCCCACCCCCTGGCAAGGCCCCTGTCCAGGTACCGTGTCCTCCCTGCTTCCTTCGAAGACACCACCTGTTTCCACCCACAGCACTGCGCCCTACTCCTTGGAAGACAGACTATGAAACCAACTCTGGAGGGGCTTAGCTCTGCCCCGGGAGCCACCATCCACATTCCTTAGTCCGTGGACTTTATATGGACATTTTAAAGATCTTCCTTGGTCCTCTGTCCTACCTCCTCAGTTACAATCCTGTCCTTCTGGGGTCGGCGGGGTCTGTTTTTTGTGATGCTGGGAACTGGCCCAGAGCCTTGTAGTGCCAGGCAGGCTCGTGATCTCTGAGTCACATCCCAGCCCTGACCTGGGCCTCTGGTTCTTCTCTGCCTGGACTCAGGGGTGTTCAGTCACTGTGGCTGACCGACCAACTCCTGGGTAGGCCTAACACCGGCCATGACGTTCCCACAACAATGAAGGGCTGGTGTCTAAGGACCCCTTTGCTACTAAGCATCCTCCACACTACCCTTTTTGGAAGAAAGTCTTATTTTTGTTTGTCACAAGCCTCAAGATCACTTAGAGAAAGAAACCACTGCTTGTGGGTGGCCCCCGAGGGCCTGTGGTCTGTGGTGGGCAGGAAGCAATGATTCACTGTGCGCTCACCTGGTCTTAAATTCCTCCATCAGGGACTTGGTGATGCGTTTCAGTTTATCCACAAACTGGGGCGAACCAAACAAAACGCTGCCAGAGAAACTGCTGGCCACGAGCAGGACCGAGGCCAGGATGGTCAACTGGTGCAACTGGGACTCGAGGTCCTGCAGCCGGGTTCTGTCCATCAGCAGGGTCTGGGGAGCAGAGGTCAGCGGTCATTCAGGAGAGCATGATGGCGACAGAAGGCCAGAATACAGACAGACCCAGGCCAGGCCGCCACATTCCTACCTCGGGGAACTCTTCGTTTTCAGGGTCCCAGAGAAGGAGGTTCAGGAAGCCCTGGGACAGCACCATCGTGGGGCTCAGGGGCTCCGAGTTGCTGGCCGCCTCACTTGGCGCAGGGCCCGCCACGTTGGAGGAGTCAGGCGGGTCAAGGGCCGCGGAGGGTGGAGTGGACAGGTCGGCCGCTGCTTGCGTCAGCCACTTGGTGGTGTGGTCCAAGAGACCTGGGGCGGGGAGGGGGGGGTGACAGCATCTTGGCACCTTTTCCTCTGGGGCCTGAAGACCAAGGTTCCTTTCAAAATGTCCTGGTTAGTAAGTAAGTGCTCTGGGGTCTCTCTGTCTTCAACTCAAGTTCCTTCTCCCTCCCCTTACCTGAGGGAGAAACTTTCTATTCTTAAAAGAGTCCCACTGTGCTCCGGAAGGTCTCATCAGCTCCCCCCCCACTCCGCGGCTCCTCGCGGCCCACGTACTGGGCTGCTTGTTGAGCTGTTCCTGGAATTTGGCCCGCTCCAGCTGAATGGAGTGCTCCTGGAGGTGTGGCTGTAGGCTCTGGATGGTGTAGTTCACCATGTCCATCTTCATCAGGCCCAGGACCTGGAAGATCCCTCTGACACGGGAGACAGAAGAGTGACACCATGAAGGGAATCGAGTGAGGGACGCCCACCCGGGCGGGGGTCATGACGTCTCTGTTCTCTGGGATCAGGGAGGTCTTAGGACCCACTCAGTCCCACCTCCCACGTCTACAGACACGGGACACGACCGAAGCCCAGAGTGAGGGAGAGGCACAACTAGGAAGAGCTCAGTCTCTTCCCACCGTGGTCATTCTGCTGTCGCCTACAAAGGGTGGTCAGGGAAGGAAACAGCTTGTCAGGGGTGTCCTCCGCGCAGTGGGGTTACAGGGCATGCTATTTTGGCTCTCTGGGCCAACGGCAGCTTCTTTTTTTTTCTCTTCCTGGGTCTCGGTTCCTTAGTTCCTTCAGCTACTGACCCTTAGACTATGTGAAATGGGCAAGAGAAAACCTGGGGAACTGATGGCTTCACTCTTTAGGAGAGAGGATTTTGTCTTATGGAAGCATGTCACACAGCGGAGTCCCCCACAGACAAGGCCACGATGAGGCCATCTTTGGAAAAGAAAAGAACCACAAAGCCCGAGAGGAGAATAGGGGTATTAGGTCTTTAGTGGGGAAGAGTCGGCCCAGACGATGGCTATGACCCGGCTGGGGCTGGAGCAGGTTTTGGGGGTCAGCATGAGTCTCATACCTCAGTAACCGAACGGGGTCGGTGATGTTCTCGAGCTTCTGTACGGCTTCATCCCGGACTGGAGCGCACAGCAGAGTCATCATGTTGAGGATGTACTTTGAAAGGTAAGGGACGTCCAGGGCTCCGTGTTCTGCTTCCTGCTTGATCAACTCCATGTCCAGAGCCTCTTCGATCTCACTTCTCAGGCGGTTCTGACGCGGTAACAGCAGTGACAGCAAGATCTGCCCAGGACAGAAGGTCAAGAGGAGTCTGGTTCTGTTCAGAGCCCCAACTCTCCCCAGTGGGGAAATCTCTTACCCTGAGCCACATCCCAGCCCTGCGCCACCCCTTTAGCCAGGGACAGCCTGTAACTTTTTAAGATTTTTTTAGTTGTAGATGGACACAACACCTTTGTTTTATGTATTTATTTATATGTGGTGCTGAGGATCGAACCCAGGGCCTCACGCGAGCACTCGACCACTGAGCCCCAGCCCCAGCCCTCCAGGTTATATCTTTTTTTAAGCATATAAAGCAGGGTTTATTTTAAAAGGGGTAACAGATTTCTCCCAGGAGGGAGAAGGGCCATAGCTGGTGTCCTGGTACCCCAGGAGGTGGGCGTCCTGGGCCTCCTCTGTTCTCCTGCCCTCCTATCTCCCTTCCTGCATATGTGACGAGACCCTGTAACTGCTTGGTGAGATGGCCAAAAGGTGGATCCCAGCCTGTATCTTTTGAGGAACACAATTTGAGCCCCTAAATTCCTCATAGGATATTATTTATCTTTGTTTAGAGGCCAATGATAATTCAAATTTTAAGGGGACCAATTATAGCAATAATGTATCATTTTCTACACAAAATGGGATAAAGAGATGAATAAACTTAAGGAGTGTAATTAAAAAGTACAGAGTACAACAAACATCAGATGTCATCGCATGATGTGACCATTCAGTTGTAAGGGAGGCCTCCTGGAGAGGCAGTGACCAAACAGACCAGGGAACTGTTCCATGGCACCTAAAGTCGCCTGTTAACCCCAAAATGTAGGTTCCTGGTGGACAGGGATTCGAATTCACCTCTCTGCCTCTGGAACACACACCGTGGCGAGGCCTGGGCCCCAGACTTCATCCAGGGGAGCGCTTCACATTAGAGAAGTCGGGGCTGCTCACACCACCTACCCTGACAGTCAAGCTAGGACAGTTACCCGTTGGGAGATGGTTCCAAACCAGCCCTGCAGCGCCTGCTCTGAGAAGATGGGGCTGGTCCTTGAACTCCCGTTCCTTTGCTGGTTGGGAGGCTGCTGTGCATGGAGGGCTCCAAAGGGATTCTCAGGAGGAAGGGCCTTCCTCCCTGGCTCCGCCCTCTCCTCCCAGCAACTTCCTACATCACAGAAGCGTCTCTGTTCAAACCAGGCCTGCTTCCTGCCCCCTACCCTACCCTGACTGACCAACAAGTCAGCCCCGTAAGTGAGATTTGAACCCCAACACTTGCCCCTGGATTCCATGAGCAGGACGCAGTGAGCGCTTCAGACACCTCAGAGAGGTGAGCAGACCAGAAGACGGAGACCGCCCCCACACTCAGACTCAGAGGCCGGCACACCTCTGGTTTCTACGGCTGCAGGTATTCCCTCCCAGACAAAAACAAGTAACAAGTTGCTACCTTCAAACCACTACCATCACAACAGAGGCACACTTGGTAGGCTTTTCTGGATTTTTGAGGCAACATACATCCACCAGATTTGAGTTGACTCGTTTAGAATCACTCATAAGGTTATAAATCTCCAGTGAGTAGCAGAGCAAGAGCAGCCTCTGCAGCAAGTTCAGACTGCAGCACAAGCCACTCTACAGCCTGGGTCTTATGACCCAGGAGATCCAATGGCATCCCAAGTGTCCATGGTCATCAAGGATGCTGTGAAGAAACGTCTTGCAGGCAACCGTAGGAGAATCCCAACATAGACCTTTGGGGTTCTAAAGCACATCGACACCCTCTGTTGCAGATGACTATCTGCCTTTTGAGAAATGGCTCACCACTGAGCCTATGGCATCAAGTGACCATAGGGCTGAGCTTCCCACCAGGAGCTAGGTGCTGTGTGACGGACCCAGCCAATCTCAGTGGACAAGCACAACAGGAATACATCATCAAATAAAATGACCCATAAGCAACCAAGCATATAATGGAAAAAAGGACAAGTAGACCAACAGAGAGAGATCCCAGAAGGAAACCTGGCCAAATGATGTTGAACAGCAAGGCCAAGAGCATTTGATGGGGAAAGAACATCTTTTTCAACAAATGGTGTTGAAAAAACACCGCATATAAAAGAAAAAAATATCTGCACATAAAAGAATGAAGCTGAATGAAGTTATTTATTAAAAATAATTCAAAATGGATCAAAGATCTAAAAACACTTAAAACAGATCATAGGAAGGGATGGGGTGTGGCTTGGTGGAAGAGCACTTGCTAATGTGCAAGTCATGTATCTACAAAGATCAAGTATCTAGAATATGTAAAGAACACCTAAAATTCAGCAACAAAAAGGCAAACAACCCTATTTAAAGATGGACAAAAGACTTGGGTAAACATTTCTTCAAAGATGTAAAAATGGCCAGTAAGTACATGAATAGGTGCAAGTGAAATCCACAGTGAGATAATGTTTCACCCCCATTAGGAAAGCTATGATCAAAAAACTAGAACACAGCACCAGGCACAGTGGTGCATGCCTGTAACCCTAGCTGCTGCCGGAGGATTACAAGTTCAAGGCCAGTCTCAGCAACTTTGCAAGACCCTGTCTCAAAATAAAAAATAAAAAGGGCTTGGGATGTAGCTCAGTGGTAAAATCACCCTGGGCTCAACCCTCAGTATTTCACACCAAGGGGAAAAAAAAAGTTAGAAAATGTAAAGTGTTGGCGAAGATGTAGAGAAACTGAAACCCTGGTGCACTGGTGGTGGGAATGCACAGCTGCTGTGGAGGAGTTGGCAGTTCTTCAAAATGTCAACCATAAAATTACCATATGATCCAGCCATTCCATTTCTAAGCATCCACCTACAAGAATTCCAAGCAGGGATTCAAATAGATGCTTGTATACCAATGTTGATAACAATATTATTCACCGTAGTCAAAAGACAAAAGCAAACATGTCAATCAACTGATGAATAAAGAAAATGTGGTTTATCCAAAGCATGGAATATCACTCAGCCATAAAAAGGAATGAAATTCTGGCAAGCACCCTCATTTCTCTAATTCTGTTGTCATGGTTATTTTGATATTAAACCATTCCTGTTCAAATTTCCGTGTGACTGATTCATGGACCATGTTCAGTTAGGATTTGCTAGTCATTGATACTCAGTATTAGCTCAAGATATCTGGGAACTTTCTATTTACAAATGGAAGTCACTCACCTCTTTGATTTCTTTCAGAAGTTCGAGAGCACAACTGAAGTCAGGGGGAGTAGCTGTTAGCTGTTCCTTAAGATGGTCCCAAAAGTCATTGTGCATTGTCTCCTTGACCTTGCCTTCCGAACTGTGATAGGTTAAAAGAGAGATCACTCTATCTACCCAAAAACATAGGTATAGAATAATAATTCCTAAGCCCCAAACAGTATTTGACATGGAAAAACTTGATGATACGGATAAGAAAATGCCTGGACTCTGTCTGGCTGCAGCAGAGCTGAACAAGCTGCGTGAGACAGAGTTCAAGGGCATCACAAAACCTCAGCTGGTTCCAGAGCAGCCCCCTCTGTAGGAGGAAGAGCTGACCAAGGTGAAGTCAGGCTGCTTTGGCACTGTTGTGCACTCTGCCTAGACATGTGACTCAGTGTGAGTGTGTGTGCGTGTGCGTGTGTTCATATATGGCACTAAATGAAATTGATCTTTCATTTTCTTAGACTCCTAATCTGGGAAAAAGTTTTCCTTCTTTGATAAACACCTGACGGTCCGAGGATCTCCCCATCTGCAGGTCTAAAACAAAATCACCGCCTTTCCCTCCCACACCTATTCCCTCTCAATTCCCAGGCTCAATGGCATTACCATCTAAACAGTCAAGGGAACTAGAGAGAGTGGCCTTTTTTTTTTTTCTACTTTAAAAATATACACAATGTGAGGGGGTGGGGATTTAGTTCAGTGGCAGAGCACTGGCCTAACACATGCAAGACCCTGAGTTCGGTCCTCATCCCTGAGGAAAAAAAGTATAAAATATATACACACAAAGGCAATTCAACTGAGAAAGGAGAACTATTTCAACAAATGGTGTTGGAATGACCATACATCCACATGCAAAAAATTAACCTAAACAGATTTTATGCCCTTCACAAAAGTTAACTCAAAGTGGAGTGCAGATCTAAAAGTAAAACAATACATAATAAAACTTCAAGAAGGTGACACAGGAGAAAACCTAAGTGACCTTGGGTTTCATGATCAATTTTTAGAGACAGTACCAAAAACAACATCCAGGAAATGAAAAATTGGTAAGTTGGGAGTCATTAAAATTAGAAACTTCTGCTCTGTGAAAGACATTACCAAGAAAATGAAAAGACAAGCCACAGACTGGAGATGGTCTTTGATAAAGAATATGTATCCAAAATGATCAAAGAACTCCTAAAACTCAATCATAATAAAATGAACAATGGGGAAAGGTGAGGACTATGTAGCAGGTCCCTCTTACCATCATCAGACAATATATTCAGTCCCAAGGATTGTCCTTTAGCTTGATCTTAGGTCTGTCTGATAATAATGTCACAATATTAAATAATGGCTGGACAAGGCACATGACTATAATCCCAGCAACTTGGGAGGCTGAAGCAGGAGGATCATAAATTTGAAGCCAGCCTCAGCATTTTAGTGAGACCCTATTTCAATTAATTAATCGAACAAATTTTTAAAATATTTTTAGTTTTTGTACTGCGGATTGAACCCAGAGGTGCTTAACCACTGAGCTACATCCCCAGTCCTTTTCATGTTTTGAGACAGGGTGTCACTAAGTTGCTATGACTGGCTAGAACTTATGATCCTCCTGCCTCAGCCTCCCGAGGTGTGCTAATTTTAGCCACACCAGGCTAAAATTCTTTAAATCAGAAGACTTTTTGAGTCTCTGAGTCCCTAGTTTAAACTTCTCCTCCATTGAATCTCTTATTTCTTCAGTAAATTAATTCCTTAAATTCAGGAGAAAAACATCTGAAGAAAAATTAGTTTGAATTGTTTGTTTTGAATCTGTGTGATGCTCGGCTGTTGGGGTTCTCATTTGTCAGGGGTTCTTTCCTCCTCTGTGTTTTACTGTTCCTCGGTGGGTCAGTGTATCTGGGGTCTGTGGGAAGGCGGCCACCACCAGGCGGGAACCCTGGCCGCCGCCTACCGACCACTGAGCTGTCTCAGCTCTTCCTTCTTCTTGCCCATCTTTGCAAATGGTCTGCCTCGTGAAAGGGTCGCATCCTTTCCTCCCTCTTCTGAAGACCTTGGGAAAAGTCATAAAAGATTTTGTTAGTTTTGGTCTCGAGTAAAAACTAATCTGATTTATACTTGTGCCTTGAGTCACCTGAACATGTACTGTTGGTTTGGAATTCTGACTTTTATTCTGAGCATAAGGATTTTTTTCCTTCTCTCCTAAGCAACAATGGAACTATACACTCAAAGAGAAAGAAACTGGTGTATTCTGACACTTCAAATAGCTCTATGTTGGGCAGAGAAAAATCTTTTTTCCATCTTAGTTGGAAATCTGCTCTCTGATATGAAAGACAAGATGATAGACAGATGGGTCAGCCCCTTCATTACAGTAGGCTGCAACCCAAATTTTAAAAAATTAATGTCAACCCCCTTTGCCTTGCGACTTTTTTTTTCAAGTGTTGGGAATCAAACCCAGGGTCTCATGCATGCTGGGCAACCACTCTGCCACCAAGCTATAGCTTTTTTTATTTTTTATTTTGAGACAGGCACTCACTAAGGTGCTGACCTTAAACTTGCAATCCTCCTGCCTCAGCCTCCTGAGCAGTTGGGATCACAGGCGTGCGCCATGGCACTCAGCTGCAACTTGAATTTTTATAAAGACATAAGTGTGATTCTACAAGCAACTCAAAGTCCACCAGTTGTTCTCATCAACCACAGAAACTTCCCTGCTTGCCTTTAAGGTTTACAGATATTTAAGAATGAGGATATTAAAAACAGAACTGTCCTGTACTTAAAAAGAAGGAAAAAGGTTTTTAAAAAGAGCTCCATGATCTAAACTTGGGCCAATTAAAGGCTGATGTTCAGGGTATCATTTTTGTAACATTTCTCTCTCAGTAGGCTCCTGCTCTCTCATGGAAATTTCTCAGTCAACTGAACCCCTGTTATTTATTTGTTTATTTATTTATTCCACAGTGGAACGCATTTTGACACACTGTTCACAAGTGGAGCAAACTTCTCATTCCTCTGGCTGTACCTGGTGCAGACGCACTGCAGTAGAGTAGTCGTGCATGTGTAGAGGGTCTGTCTCAATCTCTGTCTTTTCCATCCCACCACCCCATCCCTCCCTCACTCCCCTCTACACAAACCAGAATGCCTTCATTGCTGCCTCCCCCCACTAAGAATCAGCATCCAGTTATCAGAGAAAATATTCGGCTTTTAACCTTCTGTTTTCTGAACACCTGCCGATCATTCACTCCTCTCCCCACACTGGCTTCTCTGAGGCTGGATCCTTGCATTTCCTCCTCCTGTTGCCACTTCCGATCCTCCATTCAGTTCCCTTTAAGGCTCCCCTGTAAGCCCTGCACCTCTATTTGGGGGTTAGTGGATGAAAATCTACCAGAGGAAACACTGGGGTGGGTTCTGGTCCCTCTAGGAAGGTGCTGAAGGAGGTGTCTGGTGACCCTGAGACCCTTGAAGAAGGCAGGTAAGGTGCCTCCCCTTTGGGGGTCTTCTGTCTTCCTCATGGAGTCCCAAAAGTCATGAGTAGATTCCTTTCAGATCTGAAGCTCTTTTAGGCACTGGTCTCCCTGATCTCTGGGTCTGGGGGTACCAAGGGTCACTTCATGCTCTAAGAGGGCCCTTGGCCTCCGGGTTCTCCTAGCTGAGGGCCACAAGATGCAAGTTCAGAGGAAACAAAGTTCCAGTGAGTGGTCATCACTGCAGGGGCCAACTGTGGCTTTCTGTCCATTTTGTTTCTTTGTGTAAGAGACACCTCAGACACCTCAGATTTCTCACTGGGTCAGATAAAAATTGGCAGCAAATGTCAACTTACTGCCCCCACCCCCCAAAAAGAAATCATTGGCCATTGGCTGAGACCTCTGAGCCAAAGCCACAGCCTGATGTTAGAAACAGTGAACACAAGAGGTTGTTAGAACCCAGTCACCCCTCCACCACCACCCCCCACCCCCGCCACAAATAAGATTCCTCTGAGCCGGGCTGCCCGTGGGCTGGTGGGTGCTGGGTCCCCTGCTGGCCTTGGACAGTCGCCCTGACCATGAGGTCTATAGGAAAAGCACGTCACAGACCAGCCCCCTGGCTTTCCCCTCTGCTCTGTCACCCAAGATTCAAAGTAGAAACGGGATCTTTAATTTCTGAGGATCTGAATGCTGGGCCCCAGAAGCTGCGAATCCAGTTGGTCCTACTGGTTAATGGCTGTGCTCTGAACTCATTGATCCAGTTAAGAAACAAGTTAAATCGGAAAGCCTCCTATCTGGGGCTGGGGTTGTGGCTCAGTGGTACAGCGCTTGCCTAGCATGTGAGAGGCCCTGGGTTCCACCATCCTCAACACCACATAAAAGAAAGGATAGATAAATAAATAAAGGTACTGTGTCCATCTACAACTAAAACAGTTACTAATGTGCAACTTTCTGGCATTCAGCTGGTTGTGTTGTATAGGCTTCTGGATTTTCTTTTAGACTCTGTATTTCATCATAAAATCCTGTGATGAATTTCTAAGACTGTTACCTTGACATCCATTTTAAATCCTCCTTTGACACACCTCAAACTCCTTGGAAACTCTCCCATTCTTTCTCTGTGCTCTTGAGATGTGAATGTTCTTCTCTAAACCATAATTCAGGTTGAACACTCTGTCTGAAATCAAAAAATGCTCCCAAACCCCAAGCTTGCTGAGCGCCAGGCTCCTTCCTCAAGTCTGTCAGAGAAGATCTGAAATGCACCCAGCTAGTTATTCCGTTTATTTGCTGGTTAAATAACATTTGCTTCTTACTAATAATGCTATCACGACTTGATCTTCTGTATTATAACACAAACGCTAAGTGTATCGTTACCAAAAATGCTTTGAGTCTGGACAGAAGCCATCAGTGCTAAACCCTGATGCCGGGGTGAACCAAATGGAGAAAGCAGGAGAATCCATACCTATTTGAAGGCAAATTTTCCTCCCCATGGAAATCACGATTCAATCCAATCTCACTGCTCATCTTGGAAACTTCATTGATCGTCTCTGTCAGATCTGAAACTGAAAGTACTTAGGGTGGACAAAAGTGAACCTACGAGAGTTTGAATTTCTATTTTATTCAGAGATTCGCTCAAGGTAGTAGGCTTCAAAGTTATAATAACAGATTCACTCACATACTAGTTATTTATGTTTTCTGAACTCCCTGCCCCATGACAGTGCTGGAAACTCTTAGGGTAGTCCAACAAAAGGGGAAAGGAAAAGATAAAGAGGTCAATTTATTAAAAAATATTAAGTGAGAGCTGGGGCTGCAGCTCAGTAGTAGAGTGCTTGCCTGCACATATGAGGCACTGCGTTTGATCCTCAGCACCATGTAAAAATAGAAAGAGAGAGAAATTTTAAAAAAATTTAGGGCTGGGAATGTGGCTCAAGCAGTAATGCGCTTCCCTGGCATGTGCAGGGCGCTGGGTTCGATCCTCAGCACTATATAAAATAAAGATGGTGTGTCCACCGAAAAATGAAAAATAAATATTAAAAAAATTCTCTCTCTCTCAAAAAAAAATTAAGTGAAACTAACTAAAAACTTCTCTTAAAAAAAATCACACTCTCATTCTCTTAAAATCACACTACTTAGGAGGCTGAGACAGGAGGATTGCAAACTGGAGGCCAGCCTGAGAAACTAAGCAAGATCATATCTCAAAATAAAATGGAAAAAAAAGACTGGCAATGTAGCTCAGAGGCAGAGTGCTTGCCTAGCATGTATGAAGCCTTGGGTTCAATTCCAAGTACCTCAAAAAAAAAAAAAAAGTAAAATCACAAAACTGCAAAGAAACAACTTATGATTTGTAAGAATAAACACTGATGTGTTAAAGTCCTTTTACTTCCTGCCTCTGCTGCTACCTGCCAAAGATGAAAGCCAGATTCCCACTGGAAATGACACTCAGATGTCACTGAATAGTGCCAGTGTCAATTAGTCTTCTAAGGCAGTAGTTCCCAGATTCTAGAATTTCACAGAGTAATAAAATTTCCAAAAAGATTTTAAGCAACTGACCACAACTTTCCAACTTTTATTTTACCAACTATGGACAAGCAAAAACAAGCAATAGAAATTCCTCTCTATGGCCTGGGGCTGTTGCTCAGTGGCGGAGCGCTTGCCTAGCAGCACCACATAAAAATAAATAAAGATATTGTGCCCATGTACAACTAAAAATAAATAAATAAATGTGAAAATTCCCCTCTAGTATGCTAAAATTATTTTGTAAAAGAAAGGATCATTTAATCTAAAAAAAAAATTGTCAAAATAAAGAGCAATTAAAGTTGAATCAATTTCACTTTTAGTTTCAGGAAAAGTCATTACAATATCTTTATGATTTCATTGCCAATAACATATCATATATATATGTACATATATATATTTATTATTTTTTTTAGTACAGATTACTGAGGGCCACTCTACCACATCTCTAGCCCTTTTCATTTTTTGAGAAAGAGTCTTGCTACATTGCTGAAGGCGGGCCTCAAACATGTGATCCTCCTGCCTCAGCCTCCAAAGTAGATGAGATTATAGGCATGCACTACTATGCCTTGGGCTAATAATAATTTCATATTGCTAAGAATCTTGTCACAGACCAGCACCAGCATTTGGAAACCACAGTTCTAGTCCACCCATTTCACTGCAGTACTGGGATTCAAGCCAGAGGCCCTCTACCAATGAACCTTTTCATTCACAGCCATTTTTTTATTATTTTGAGCCAGGGTCTGTCTCACTAAATTGTTGAAGCTGACCTCCAACTTGCTGTCCTCCTGCTTCAGCCTCCCTAGCTGTGAACTGATAACTGTTGAAGCTGGGTGATGGATAAATGGAGGAGGGTCATTATATTAGTTCTGCTTTTATAAAAATTTCCTATAGTCAAAGATTTTAAAATGTAAAAAGAAAAGTTATAGAAAAGAATTTACACAAGACAGTGCCTTTCTTAGAAAAATGATAAAGTTTTAGAGGTAAAGTAGAGTCTCTGGGACAGTATAGGGGAGAAAATACAGATATGGAGAGAAAAAAAAGCAATATCGGAGAAAAGTAATGTAAGTGCTCACTTTTTTAACTTTCAACAAATTTGAAATATTTCAAACAAAAAAGTTAAGGGGAAAATGTGATTCTAGACATTTATAGAAAAATTCAGTCTTAGGTGAACAAAGTTGAGCTGAACCATCAAGTGGGTGGGCGAAATTCCCTCGATTTTTACAGCTTCTCTTAAGAAAAAGTTCCAGTCAAAATGGCATAACACAAATATGCAGAATCTCTGCTAAATTATAATGCTAAATGAAAATTAGCCACAATAGTTTACTAAAGGATTTTCCCCCATTGAAAGACTATTCAGTTGTTCACAAGTACAGAACTAAGCCACTCTAGGAACGCTCTAAGATTCAGGAAAGAGGGCTCAAGAATAATTAGAGATAAAAATGTGACTAAAATAGATTTTTTAAAATCCAGATGCTGCCAGGGGCGGTGGTGCACACCTGTAAGCTCAGCAGTTCCGGCGGCTGAGGCAGGAGGATCGCAGCAAGCTCAAAGCCAGCCTCAGTAAAAGTGAGGCGCTAGGCAACTCAGTGAGACCCTGTCTCTAAATAAAATACAAAATAGGGCTGAGGATGTGGCTCAGTTGTCGAGTGCTCCTGAATTCAATCCCTGGTACCAAAAAACAAACAAATAGAAACAATTCCAAGGACAAAGAATTTTTCAAAATAAAATAACTAGTAACTTAACCTAGTCAAAATATACAAAATTTCAAAAATGTTTTGAAGGAATTTGGTTATTCACTTTACTGTGAGTTATCTCACCAAGGGATTCATTTAAATAATCACTGTAAGAAAAAAAAAATCTTTCGCCCATCAGGTCCCATCTGTCCTATGCGCGCCAGTGCGCCTTTTGGGTGCGTTTGTTAACCAGCAGCGACCCCGAGTGGTCATAAGAGAAACGAGTCTAATTTAACTTCATTGCGAACTAAATTTTCCCATTGTCCATCTTCACGAATTTTAGCTCAAGTTGATGCACGTGGGCAGCCCTTCAAATTGATGGCTTGAGACTCCATGAGGTTTGACGTATGGGTTAGTGTGGAAGAGACCTGGTGACCTGATATGAACACCAAAGGACACCTTTCTACAGGGTGCAGAGCTGGCGTATGAGCCTAGGACAGCATCACTTCAGGCCAACAAAGTACCTAAAAAACACAATTCCCATCTAGGGAATTTGAGTTTTTTTTTTTTTAAAAAAATTAACCCCAGATATCTGTCATTTTCCACTCAAGTTCCAAAGATGGCTTAGAACTGACTCAGCCTCAAATCTTCGATTCAAGTAATCCCACGTGGCTTCTTTCTCGGGGATGTGACTCTCTGAAGCCCTCTAGTCCCCAGAGGGCCTAGGCCTGTGAGTGAAGACAGGACAGGGACAGGGACAGGCGCAGGGGGGAGAAGAGGGCGCCAGAGCGCACCTGGGGCTCCCTCAACGTGGTCCCCTCAAGGGCGCTGCAGCGCAGGGGGCAGGCTCCCTGCGATCGACGGGACCCACACGGGGCACCCCAAAGGGTCTCGGGGACCTGGACCTACGCGAAGGGTTGTCCTGGGAGCTGTTCTCGTCTTCCTGGGTCGGTTCTGAGGACTCGGGCTCGCAGGAGCCGCTGCCAGGTTCTTTTGCGGGCACATTCTCCTTGATGTCGGGCATTTTGCTGGTGGTATCTGGGTGGGGGAGAAATGGTGTGCTGTTGGCGACGGGGAGGGGGCTCCCCAACCGCCCAGGGGGTCCTGAGGCCCGGGCGGCGGCTTCAGAGTTTCCAGGAGCTGGGGCGCCCAGGCGGACAGGCCAGCCCAGGGCTGAGACCAGGAGCCCCGGGCAGCGGGGCGGCCAGGCCCCTTTCTCCGCCGCCGGGGACCACCTCTCCGGGGCGCCCCGCTCGGGTTGGGCCGCAGCCTCTCACCTTCTCCCCGCCGCTGG